GCCGCAGTGGGCTCAGTTTTCCTGACAGTTATTCTTTGGTTGTACGTTGAAAATATATTCTCTGAGTTCAATGAACTTCTTAAAAAAACACGAGAAGGTGATGTTTAAAGAGGCCACACGTGCAGTTGGCCACACTGCCGTGACTCCTGCTCTTACCACCTCGCGCCCCGAGTGGACCCCTCCTGCACCGCCCGCCGGGCCCCCGAGAGTTTGCCGGGGGCCCCTGGGCCTCCCGGGCGCCTCCTCGCACCGAGCCGCTCAGCGCCTGCTTCCTGGGAGAACAGCAAAGGCCGTCATTTGCTCTGTACAGCACAAGCGCATCGGATGGCTATGTAGCCTTAATTAATTCTCGCCTATTTCGGGAGGTGACATCCAAAATTCGGTGATTGTTTCTTAGAGACCTATGCCCTTTGTGAATGATACTAAAATGGACACGCACCCCTCCTTGTTACAAAATGATTCTGAAAGTGTTATTCAGGCGAGTTAAATGGGTGTTTCAGAACTGTCCACACACTGTTGCGGGATCTTCTCCTTGAGAACTTGGGTGTACATTTAGCTCATCGCTGGTTACACTTCTGTGAGGAGTCTTCAGAACGAAAACACGGACGCGCCACTCAGGCCCCCTGTGCGCCCGGGCTGGCGGACAGCGAGCGGGCCCGCAGGCCGACTCCCTCAGCCGGAGGCCGGGCCGGCTGGGGCAGCCCTGTCCCCGCCCGCGATGGCCAAGTTGGGTGGTCCTGTCCTCGCCCGCCGTGCGCTCCACAGCGGCCTGGACCTCCGGCTGGTTAGACGGAAGGGGGATGTCGGCGGCGGAGGGGTTCCCGGGAAGGGTTGCTCCCCGAAGGAAAGAGAGTCACAGAGGGAGATGCTGCTTCGACTGCACAGGGCGGGGACTTGTGTCCGAGTCTGGTGGCTCCTCCTGTGACCAGGAGGAGAGGGAGCTGAGGACACAGCCACCGACTCAGGACAGCGGAGCAGAGGGGCGGAGGAGACCGGAGTCCCCGAGGCGGGTGTCAAATTCACCGGTCCCCGAGCAAGCCCACCTTGTCCCATCTCGTCCCGAGAGGAGAACTGCGCCTTGAACCCACTCAGCACCCTGGCCTGCCGTGGTGTGGTCTGTCTGACTCCTCAGTTACAGGTGCCATTCCCACTAAGCTGGGGAGCCAGGGCCCCCTAGTGTATGCAGACTATGTGCTGTTTTGTATTTATTTTTAGGGAGAGGGGAAGGGAGGGAGAGAGGGAGAGAAACATCAGTGTGAGGCTGCCTTCTCGAGCACCCCCTACTGGGGACCTGGCCCGCAATCAGGCCTGTGCCCTGACTGGGAACTGAACCGGCGACCCTTTGGTTTGCAGGCCGACACTGAGCCCACCGAGCCACACCAGGCAGGGCTCAGGTGTGTTTTTAACAACCCTCCCAGTTGATTGTTATACTCCCCTCCCTTCTTCCTGATCCATTCCGCCCCCCCCTTTCCCCCCACTGAGACCCTCTGGAGCGAGAGAGTTATGGAATCGGAGTAACAGGATTCGACGGACGCCCGGTTGCATAGGGTAGATGACCTATCGCAGAGAGGGAGGGGCGTAGGCAGCCGCCCTGTCTCTGGCTTGGGTGTCTGGGCACACGGTGCACCATTCTGAGTGACAGGGACGGTCACTGAAAGGACTGTGTCAGTGCGGTCCAGCCCGCATGTCCGGGGAACGTCCAGGATCCGGTAACAGAAGGTAGTCAGGTGTGCAGTCCCGGAGTTCACAGGCGGATCGAAACCGGGAGGCCCAGAGGTGTGCTTGCCGGGGTGGGCCCCGGGGACCTCGCTGAGCGCGCCAGGCTGGCGCACGCACTGCGGGTGGCACAGAGGAGGGGGTGGGACCCGGGGGACCCCGGAGAAGGTCAGGGGTCCAGCGCTGGGCAGGGGCGGAGCCGCTGAGATGGAGGAAAAGCAGGACTGGTACCCACAATGACACATCTCTTTTCCGCTTCGGTTTTCCTCATGGAAGTTTCAGGACCGTTGCCGTCCTTGAACTATAATGAGGAAGCGAGCTTTACGTGTTTTAGCGTGTTTCCCCGATGGTCCGTCCGTTTGTAACGCTGAGCAGTCACCTCGTGGGGTGAAGGTTGACCACGCCACGCCAGCACTCGCAGTGCGCGGCCCTTTCTCTCCGAGGGCCACTGGTCAGAGTCCGTACCACGGAGGTGGGGCCGGGGGCGCAGTGTGAGAGTGTCACCCACCCCTCCCGGGCCCTTGCCTGGCGGCGGACGTTTTGTTTTCAGGAGGTGTGCAGGCAGGCGCGTGTCACTGCGCCTTCTGTTTGGCCGTTGGTAATTTATGCCCTACCTCTTCCCCTTTGATACTTTTATTTTTAACATTTGACATGTTTGTCAACGCGTTCTTCCTGTAAACAAATAAAACACCTTAGCAAATGAAGAAGACTTTGAAAACCCAAAGCGTGTTTCTTGGCTAGGAAAAGGAGGCATTTTCTGAAAGCCGAAGCCTGCGGAAACCCAGGGGAAAATGACGGGCGAAGGGTATTATCGCAAACCTTTTACATAATCTGTGGGTGCCAGCCTGGGGGCGTGTGTGTGTGTGTGTGTGTGTGTGAGAGAGAGAGAGAGAGAGAGAGAGAGAGGGAGAGAGAGAGAGGGAGAGAGAGAGATCAAAACACGGCACGGGACAACTTTCAAACGGCATCGTTGCTAAGAGGATCTCCCAGAACTAATTGCGTGTATCTTACTCCTCTCTCCGATTCTCTTTCTTTCTCTCTCTCCCCCCACTTTCTCCCTCCCCCCTTCTCTCTCTCCCTCCCCCCACCTTTTTTTTTTTTTGCCTCCTGCTGGCACAGCACCTGTAATTAAGGAGGCGCGCAGAGCCCTGGGGGCCAGGGCGGGCTCCCACCCACTGATCTGTGCAAACCCGGCTCCCACTGTTGGGGTGGGAGGGGGGGGCGGTGCGGGGGTGGGGGTGGGGGGAGCCGTGGGCCGCTGAGCAGCTTTGTCGCCGGCCTAAGCTGCGAGGGGACTTTTTTGTCCGCACTGTTTATACCCGAGTCTATAGACCTGCTGGCTGGCTGAATTTTAAAGAGCGCGGAGGTTTAAAGACTCGGCCCCCGAGGGGCGCGTCTGCCAGTTGGGAAGCGAGAGAGCGGAGGCTTTTGCAGAGCGGGAGCGTGTGTGTGTGTGTGTGTGTGTGTGTGTGTGTGTCGCCTGTGGAAGGAGGCGGGGGGGGGGGGGGGGGGGGGGGGGTGGGGGTTGGGGGGGGATGTGCGTGCGAGATGGAGCCGCCGAGGGGAAGCCGCCTTAATTTGTGGCTCGGAATGGATGTGAGACAGGTCGCTCCTTCCCGTGCGCTGGGAAGCAGGCAGCGCACGGTCCGGCTGCGTCTCTGCCGTCAGGGACACGGTGTGCAGGCCTGGCGGGCCCTCGCCGGGGCCGGGTCCGCAGGCGCAGCCCGTGCGTGCGGGCATGGCCTTGCGCCCGCAGCGCGAGATGAGGCCTGGGACGGCCCCCCTCCCCCCCTCCCCCCGGGCCGTCCTCCCTCGCAAAAGGGAGCGTTTTCAGTGTCAGCGATTTCCTTCGTTTCAAGGGTAGCCGCTCCTTTCATCACATTTAGCAACATACTGTCAGTGGTAAAACAGTTTTCCCAAATGTGGGGGCACCCTTTTCAGGGCCGGTGTGCCCGAGCAGACGCAGACGAGGCGCCCGGCCCTGGAGACGAAGGTTGCTGGTTTACTGGGTCCTGCGCTTGCTGCTCCCGGGACGCCGGGCTCTGGAAGCCTTGGGAGGCGTCGGGCCTGGAATGATGCCGCGTTTTGCTCTCGGTGGAAGCCTCGCTGCGGTCTAGGCCCGACACGAACGGGAGGGAGTCCACTTTAAAGGGCACAGCCCTCGGTTTCTCTGTAGGGTTTAGGTATTTCAGTGTTGGTGATTTCTCTGGGTGCAGGTTTTCTCGGTAAAGCGTTATCGGGTAAGGTATTTTTGGGGGGGGATGAAGGGGTGACTTCAACCTTAAGATATTAGCACTCATTTATTTTTTAACGGGGATAAACGGCTCATACATCTCCACTTTGTCCTGTAAAATTACCTGACTTTGAACTTGGATGACGTTAACGTCAACTCTAAGGTTTAATTTGAGGATCAGAGTTAATCTGAAGTTGTTTTTCATATGGAACAGAATAGGTCTTTTTCTATTTCTGGCCAAGTGGCTGACAATTATTTGCATTTTGTTGTAACGGCGACTACGTGTGTGATTTCTGAAAGGGTTAAAAATTATTTTAGAACGGCTGTAAAATCCCTGCGGGTTTCAGAATCAATAAGGTTATTTTCTGCGCTCAACGGAAACATCGACTTTTACAGGAGGCAGTTTTTAAATGAAAGCGCACAGCAGAGAAGCTGCTGCGCTGTGTCGAACGTCAAGGCTTGTTTCTGGAGGTCCGCGGAAGGGTTTCATCCGAGATCTCACTCCGAGTGTGCCGGGAGCCGAGTCCCTAAACGTGCTGCCTCAGCCGCAGAGCCTTTCTCTGAACCGTGTTCCTGCGGGGCGGCCCAGTGGTTCCGCCTCTCAGTAATTCATTCCGCCGCGAGCTGCGGCCCCTCCGCTCCGCCTGCATCTTAATTGAAACAACATTTCTATTTCTGAGCCAGGATCTGTCAGAAGTCCCCGTGGCTAGTCTGTGGGACCAGTAGCCTCCCCATATGGTGCGGCGCTTCTTGTAAAATCCATATGGCCTTGTTGAGGGGACCCCAGCGGGGAGGTGAAGGGTGTTAATACCCTTCAGGCCAGGCCCCTCCCCCCTGGGGCCTGCCGGCATTGTCCCCGCAATCTGCCAAGGCCTGCATTCATTCCTTCTTCATAATCAATTATTTTAGTCGTGGGCCTGGGCTGGTTTTCTTAAGAAACAACCCCCCCGCCCCGTTCCCTTTATCCCCTGGAAGATATCTCAAAAAGGGTGTAAGTGCATCTTTATAAATATTCTAAAGCCTTTCTTTTTTTTTCCAATGTGCCTTCCAGGAAGCACTGCAGAGTGTGCCGAAGTTCTGCTTCCCCTTCGACGTCGAAAGGTATGGCAAAGTCGTCACTAAATCGCCTTGCCCGTCTCAGCGAGAGCCGAGAAACCGCTGCAGGTTTTTGAGCGAAGTGAAACGCCCTTTCTCTGTATTGCCAGCAACAGCAACAGAAAGACCAGAGGCCCAGACCAAATAGCACGGGGGATGCCGCGGAGTTTGAAACCCTTGCATCTTTTGTTTTCTCCCCTGTGGCCGGTCAGGGCACGCCCTGAGGTTCTGCGTCTTCCTTCTGCGCGGCGGGGCCACAGGCCACGGCCGCGCCCGCGCAGAGGAAAGCGTGGTGCTGCGTCCCCGATCAGAGCCCTAGAGCCGCGCCTCGTGACGTGCGCAGTGTGCCTGCGTCTCCCTTCACCCTGATCGCAGAGACCCTCTGCGTGACACTGTAAACCCCGCGACTCGCAGCCCCCCCTCCCCGAGAACGGCTGCAGAGACGCAGGGCGGCTGCAGGGGACTCCGCGGCCGAGCTGAGCACCTCGGAGCACCTCGTTATGTCTGCGTGTTACTGAGAAGGGCCCGAGGGGCGGGGCGCTACCTGCGGGGGGCGGGACCTCACAGAGCGCCCCGCCCTTGGCGCGCCACGACGGACCACCCGTTCTTCACGGGATTCCCACACCCTGCTATCAGTGTTTTAAAGAACGTGGCAGAGGGGGATTCTGCAAGAAAATACGTATTTAGGAAAATAGTTCACTAAAGATTAGTAAAAAAAAACCTAGACTGTTACAGTATTGGCAATGCTATGCAGAATGATGGGCTAATGGCTCCCAGAATGAGTTTAGTCGGTAACTGCCTCATTTTACCTCCTTCTGGGGGCACCTGTGGTACCTGCCGAGGTCGCAGTTTTCAAATTCGTAGCGGAGGTGAGGGAAAGGAGGAGGAGCTGGGAGCCTTGGGCGCTGGGGGCACAGGAGGTACTGGAGGCTGTTCCTGAGGTTTGTGAGCATTCCTAAAAAGTGTCCATTTAAAAGCATATTTGTTAACTATTCCATGTTTCCTCGCAACTGAAAATAATGAGTAGGGTTGGCCCGCCAGTAGTAATTTACCCTTTTACATAATTCCTGTGGCTATTTCGGAGCCAGCATTTAGGTGTCACAGACATCTCATTTCAGGAAGAGGGAGCAGATGTCCCCTGATGGTTGTTTCACTTACGTGAAGTATGGTAGCCAGTAACAGGAAGTGTCCCCACGCGTCTTAAACTATAATCTATTTCCTGCACAATGGTTCGCCTCCCACCGTACCAGGCAGGCTGTCAGCTGCTGTGCTAGTGTGACACTGAGTTCAAAACGGTGACGATCTGGGTGGTAGGCTCTTGTTGCAGAAATTGCGTTCCTGTTTCGTACTGGGAAATGCGTTCTGGTTGGAGAGGTGGCTGTGGAAGAGGACACTGGAGAGGCCAGTGGTCCTCTGCACGGCATTTCACGGGGGTGCGGGGGGGCTCATGTCGACAGAAGGAGCAGCAGTTGGTGCGGGGGCCGCGCTGGGCTCCAAAGCAGCGTGGCTGGCTGTCTCCGCCGACCGAGAAGCTCAGGAAGGCGGGCCAGAATCGGCACTTCCGTCCTCACACCCCGTTTCCCAGTTCCGCAGTGGAATCGTTTTTGCAGAATTAGGAAATATTGATGAGTACTTTAGGCACATGAAAAGTTGACAGTGAAATGTTGTGCCGGATTGCTTGGCCTGGAAGGTGGTAACTTATTTTGATATTTGCCCCATGGTTCAGTTCAAGTTCACACATTTGACACTCATTTTGATTGTAGCACGGAGTTCTAGCTGTAGGAACCAACGAATTAGAAAGGAGAAGCCAATGCTACGTAGAAACGTATTCTCGCTTTTGCTTTTCTCAATGAAGATTCTTACGCAATCCTTTGTTTTTAAATATTGCTGTGTTCTAGAGTGTCTCAGAATCAGGTCGGACAACACTTCACCTTCGTGCTGACGGACATCGACGGCAAGCAGAGGTTCGGGTTCTGCAGGCTCACCTCCGGGGGCAGGACCTGCTTGTGCATCCTCAGGTGAGTGTCTGCAGGGGGCACGTGAAGTGGGCACCCGGCGCCTCCTCCACCTGTCTTTTGTGCCTTGGTGTGCTCGGGGCGCTTACAAATATGCTAAATTTTTCTTTTTCTTTTTTTTTTTTTGCTAAATCCAGATGAGTTGTAAAATAATTTTGTTTACTGTCTATATTTAGCATCCATTAGCTTTAAAGATTTACCAGTAACAGTAGAATTTTTCTTGAAAGTTGGCTTTTTGAAGGACTCATTTTGGGGGGTTTACTCCTGAAAAATTAAATATCTAGACAGGAGTTCAAATAACATATGTTTCACACAGTCTTTTTGCATTCAACAGGCGGCAAAAGTCTGAAATTAGTGAGTTCATTTCTATCCCTGACCCTGAACTTGGACCTCGGGAGGGGGCTCGCCGCTTCGCAGCAAAGGCTGCAGACGGCTGACTCGGGGCAGGAGTGTTTGGGGCATGCTGTTCGGCCAAACGTGGCGTGCGAAACGTTTTAGAAGCTGTTTCTGACCTTGTACATGTTAGTGGAATTTTACATAGACTCCTTGTCTCTAATTCCTTCTCCTGAATGGGAATACTTAGCAAAATGGAAGTGCTTCCCAAGAGCAGCAGGGAGCTGGACGGCAGCCGCGGGTTTCGGTGTGTCCTGCCGAGCCTGCGCGCTAGCCACCAGCTCCGACCGGCCCCACTGCTCGCCGCCGAGGTCCGAGTCCGAGGGTCGGGATGCCTGTGTTTCCTGTGTGAGCACCTGGCGCCGGAGCCCCTGGCCGTTGAGGAGGAAGGAGCCCAGAGCTTAGCTGCCCCCTAGCAAGTCCCGATGAATCAGGAATCCAGATTCTAGAACACATTCTATAGAAGTAGGACTCTGCACCCTTCTTGTAATTCGGATATTGGCCAAGCCAGATTCCGTGGAGAGGTTCATGGAAGAGGAAATGACACCGAGTCACTAAAACACTGCGAAGAGAGCCTTGGTGGAGAGCTGACGCCCTCAGAGCGTCTGCTGGAGCTGGGGACGCTCTTTCGGTCTTCATTCAGACTCACGTCCAACTGCCCTGCAAACAAGGGAATGTGGGTGCGCTCCCACTCCTCCTCCAGTCACAGCTTTGCGGTTGGGATGACAGTGGGGCTGAAAACGTGTGTTTTATCCCCGAGAGCACCGCGCTTCCGACGGGTTGATTCTCCTCGTTAGAAGCCCGTTGATGGGGCGCTGGGGGCTGGGAGTGGCCGGTGCCGGAGGGTGGGGAGAGCCCAACGCAAGGTGGCCGTTCAGGGTGAAAGTTCAAGGGCTGGAGTGGGAGGGGCGTCCACCCTCACTCGCTGTGCCTACACGGGGTTGTCCTCAGGGCGGGACCAAGGCTCTACGTGCCTCCTCATTTTTCTCTGGATTTTCACATCTTTTCATTGAAAAAAAATCACGTACAGAGGAGTTTCAAGACTAGGACAGTGAACTCACACAGGCGTCATCCAGGTTCTCCAGTGTAAACCCGCCGCTGTCTCCCCTCCCTCCCCATGCACACCCATGCACACACACACACACGTATGCGCAGTGTTCTGTTCCTTCCAGTTCTGAGCTAGAAAATCTGCACAAAATGCTTTGCCCCTACTGTCCCCATTCCTGGATGATACTCTTGTGAGAATGAAAAGTAACTTAAACTTACCTTAGAGACCCAAGCTAGAAAACTGGCACACGATTCTGTAAAAATAAGGGTGTTTTTTTTTCCTCCTGGATTTCATGTTGTTATGTACAGGGACTGGAAAGTAGATATATTTGATTTCTGTGTTTTGTTCACTTTTTAGAAGAAACATTAGGATTTTGGTTTACTTAATATGAACATCGATATTTAATTTTGAATGTTCAGCCACTGTTGTACCCTTTGGCTCTTTCCATGAACACGTCTGCCCTAGTTTAACGGGACTCCAAAAACATCCTTACACATAGTAGTTTAAATCCTACCATTGTTTGTATTTAGAATTGCTTTCATATGTTGGCAAAAATGCAAGAAATAACTTTTTTCCTAATTTGATGAGCATAATTTTACCACCATAAAATTGTCGCCAAGGGTCCAGAATGAACTACTCTAATAAGGACGACAGATTGATGGTCCGGGCCTTTGTAGTTGCCCCCCTGCCTCCCCCGCTTTTAACCCTGACCACACTTAAAGCCTTCACACTCTTCCTTTGGGCAAATCCCTTAGAAACAGAATGTTTCAATTTTACACATTTTGTGTCAATTTTCCAGGCAGAAAACAGCCTCTGGACTGCAGACGTCCCGCTACTACGGAAAGGGCAGCTTCCTTAGTTTTATTTGATTACCTGAGCGGGTTCCTGCTGGCCACTCAGACGCTCAGCGGCTACCTGACTCCGACAGGAGACATTTCCTTTCCTTTGTTTAACCTTTGGCTTCGCCATGTAAACGTTTTATCAGCTCTGCAGCGGGGCCCCAGTGGGGAGGGGGGGCGCTTCTCACTGCCGCAGACCGGCCTGTGCTTTTCCGTGGGCAGCTGCGGGCCCTCTGCCTCCTGTGTCTACAAAAAGTTCAAGACGTGAGCTTCTAACTAAACTCTGAAGGATCGCCTGCCTTTGGTTTAAGACATTTGGTCCTAATGTATTAGTTTTATATTGGTATATGTTTATAAGGCTGTGAGAGCCACAGTTATTCCCCATTAAAGAAATCACATTTTTTTGGTTTTAGAAGAACTGAAGTAAAATACCTTACTTACTCAGTTGATGTGTTGAATACATTTTTAACAAACTTTCTAGAATTTTTGTGATTGGTTATGAGAGACAGATTTTGACTGTCTTTGTGACTAAAATTTAGTGAAAAAATATTTTAACTGACTGATAATCAGCCTAAGTGCTTATCCATTAGTTAAAAATTACTTGTGTTGAGCATATATATATATATATATATATATTTAAATTATCTAAAAAACCACAAGAATAAAAGCAGAATAGTATTACTTATCCAAGTAAGGTGAGCTTATCTGAGTTATTATATTTATATGGTGTGTGTTTGTGTGTATTTATGTATATCTGCTATTTGGGTCACACATTTTTGTCTTTAAAGTTTCTCATGAATTATTTTTAAGGTATTTGCATTATTGACTAGTCTGTGTACTGAAGACCACTTTTTTTTGGTCCTATAAAAAGTGAGCAAGCCTTCTGTTGAGTAGCTGCTCCATGTCAGGGGTCAGGAGTTCGGTTACCTGCAGGGACCAGGTGGGGGACTCCAACGAGGCTGGCGGGGGGGTGTCCCGGCCACGGGACGCTGGGGAGGGTGTGCCACATTCAAAGACAGAGGCCGTCACACATTTCTTGCAAAGCGGAAACTGTGTGACCAGGAGGGTCAATTATCCTGCTTTTTAAAGTTCCAGATTTTTAAGGGAATTCTCTCAGATTCAGAAGTTGGCAACTCACTTAAGCGACAGCGAGGGTGTGGGGACCAAGCGAAATACACTCGCCCGTGGGCCAGAGGGTCTGCAGCAGCCAGTTCGCTCCCCGAGCTCCGCGCGCCGCCGTCCGTTTGCGGGGGAAGATGTCCCTGCGTCCTTGACATTGAGAGGAGAATGACTAGGTTGCAGGGTGGTTCCGCTCTGATCGGAGTGGTGTTGGGGTTAAAGACCAGGAAGGACACGGGCTCCCCGCAGGGGCTGGCTGTCCCCGAGAGCCACTGCAGGTTCTCGGACACCCGAGGCGTGCACCTGGGCCCGGTCCCTCCCCGTGGCGGTGCCCGCCGGGCGCCGGGCGGTGCCGCTGTGCGAGTTCGAGAGCAGTGCCCCACGGTGTCTCGTCAGCAAGGTACACAGAGCGAGACATGTTGGCTGGATCACAGGGAGCGCAGTGAGGCGTCTTCTCATTGGCTGAAGCACCATCCTCAGATTGTTGATAAATAGTTACGTTGGTTTGGGAGGGATCTCGTACTACTACGCTATTTATAATATTTATGCTTTTAAAAATAGGCTTTCTGTTATTTGTATTGACATTTATTTTGAAATTTACCAACCATTTTGTTTAAACGTCAGTTTCTAAAAAAACTGATTAAGTCCATAATCCTATTGTATTATGTACTCAGTTCAGCGGTATTCAAAAAATGATCGTATCTTTGTTTTAAAAGATTTTTAAAATTAGTGTTTGCGTCATATTCCGTGTTACTGCAGTGGTTAGTGTTGGTCCTGGGTTTGCTGGTGCTGTTCCTGTATCGTGGGCACCACGCGGGGTGGTGAGTTTGCATACCGCTGACAGTAAAACGGAAGTGAGTAACGGACACACTTGGTGACAGGGCTTTGCATTCTGGTCGTGCCGCGAGAGCCACAACCCGATGACACGAAGGTGTCGCTGTAACAGGCAAGGGGACAGAGGTTCGTCCTTGTCCGCCTCCGGGATCCGACTGCTGGGAACCGTGTGCATTTAATGTTCATTTTGCCATCTTGTTTCATGATGTTCAATAAGATGTGTACATTTGTAAGGTTTCTTGTTTCTTTTTTTTTTTACAGTTACCTGCCATGGTTTGAAGTGTATTACAAACTTCTGAACACTCTGGCAGATTACTTGGCTAAGGAACAGGTAAGCTGTGGTCCTCAGCCCCGCCCCCCTTTATTTTTTCCCTGAGGCCACATGCACAGGACATTCAATGACCATTTCAAACCCTTTCTGCATGTATGGGCTCTGTGGGCGCACTCGCGTTGTTCTGCAGCCGTCGGCCCCGCCCTCTCTCGAACTATTCCGTCTTCCCAAACTGAAACTCCGTCCCCATTAAACAGCCACGTCCCACGTCCCCTCCCCCGCAAGTCCCTGGGAACAGCCCCTGTAGTTGGTGTCTGTGCCAACAGGGCGGGTGACCCTCCTGGGAGCGGAATTGTCCATGCCTGCCCTTCCGAGACTGGCTTGTTTCACTGAGCACGTTTTCCAGGTCCACCCTGCCCCCCGCGCGGGTCCGAACTTCTGTCCTCTAAACCCCGAGCAGCAGCCGCTGTGCTGTGGGTCCGCGCCGCGTCTCGCTTCTCCGTTCCTCGCAGGTGACCACGTGGGCCGCTTCCTCTCCTGGGCGGTTGTGAACAGCGCCGCAGGGCACACGGGTGTGCACACACCTGTTTGAGTCCCTGCAGTCGGGTCCTTTGACAGTGTACTCAGAATGGCTGAGAAATATGGCGATTCCACGTTTAGTTCTTTTTTTGAAAAACTGTCAAAAAGTGTCATTTCCGGTGGTGGCGGCATCATGGGCCCCCATCAGCTGCAGTTTTCTGAGACGCGGGACGGGAGGGCCGCCGCCTGTGCTCTTTGTCGGAGGAAGGTCAGAGGTCCACAGCGCTGCTTCAGTGGCCGCCAGTAAACCTCTAGTTCTGATTTTTTTCATTTTCCATCCAGTGCCACTGGTTATTTAGACTGATATTTAGCTTTTACAGTTCACGTTATCCTCGCGCAGCCTGCAGTGGGCACGTGCAGGGGACTTGTAAAAGCTAAGCCTTTTCCGGAACTCACGTAGCCACAGGAGTTTTTTTTGTATACAGAATATCGGTATCATCCAGAATACTCTGTGGCATATTTTGCTGTTTAAATGGTAAAGAGATAAAGTCTTTATCATCTTCTTTCGAGGTCATTAGAAAGAGAATTTGAAGTAGGCAGATCTGAACTCGTGCTTTTGCAAGCATTTGTAGAGATCTGAATTGTTTGGATGGAACGTCACCAATCGTTTGGTGAACGGCGCCACAGTGCACACGGGTGTGCACACACCAGTCTGAGTGCCTGCAGTCAGGTCTTTTGACAGCGTACTCAGAATCGCGAGTTCTAAGTGTCCTTGTGAGAAGTCATGTGACTCATATCCAAGCCCATAAAATTAGGTGTTACTTTCCAGGAAGAGGTGCCTTCCCTGTGGTTTATTCTCCCGATGTAAACATTTTAGAAGAAAATAACTACGTATTTAAAAGCCACCTTCACAGATTTACTCCTGGATTTTTATGTGTAATTCAGAAACACGTGTGTGTGTGTACTTCCAGATGTGTTGTTGCTAACCAAATCCTGGGAAGTAGCTGTGGTACATAGTTTATTTAGTCCCCCTCTCTTTGGTGGGTCAAGTAGTGGCCGGTAGCTACTTAGAAACAAAATATTTAGGATAATCTCTGTGTTGGATGTTAGAATAATAGTCTTATTTAAATTATATTTATTCCTTAAAAAGTGGGATGAGTCTTTAAAATTAAAATAGGAAATGGAAGCTCTCATGTAATCTGATAAAGAGTTGTATTCCTATTTTATACAATTCCATTGTTCTTGGATCTAATGATTTAAATAATTTCTTTCTATAGATAACTGTATATTTTATAATAATGAAATTTTGTTAAATACCTAGTTATACCAAATATAAATATTGCCATTATTCTTTGGGGGTAAGAGATATGAATATCTTTTCCATATTCATTAGATTTAAATATTTGGATTTTAGGTATGTAAAACATTCCCATGGAGAGCGGTTATATAAAGCCAGCACAGTATGAGAAGGACAGTGCATGGCTTTACTAAGTAGTTTTAATTGTGCTTGCCTCACATACATTTTATTTATAAAATTTACTTTTTTTTTTTTACTGTAGGAAAATGACTTGAATGTAACTCTCAGAGCGCTCTATGACCACCCCGTGCCAAAAGCAAACAGCCCCGTCAATCTGAGTGTGGTAAGTGTTCAGTCCGTATTTGGCTTTCTGGGCTCCTGGCTGCTTCTCAGTTAAGAACACACGCACCCCCAGGACACTCTGAGGCGCCCCTGGTCCCGGGGAACCCACCGCTAGCATGGGCACCACTAGCCGATGCCATTGAGACTTCGGACACACTTCAGCTGTCCTAACGCGGTGTGTCGGGGGTGCGGTTTGGTGGTTCTCAAATCACAGGTGTTCTATTGTCCGCTGGAAGTAACCAGATGTGCAAGAATGTATTGGTTGTGAGGAGCACTGATTTCCAGGTGAGGTCTGTGCCTCGTGAGGAAATGCACACACACACACAAACCCCATCCCCCAGAAAAACATTCAGAGTGCTCCTCACGCAGTGAGAGGGAGAAGTACATAAGAAGAATCGGAAATATAGCCTGCAACACATTACTGACGACGTGATAGGAATTTCCGGTGAAAAGTTTCTCCTCCTTTCCCCATCCTTAAATGCTCATTCTGCTGTAACCAGCAAACACTGGAAATGCGACGGAAGTTTCCCGAAACCGGAAGCCTGGGGTGGTAGACTGTTCACTGTGGAGCTTTTACCAAGTTCCCCTGAAACTGAAGCTCCTCATTTTCTCTGCAGTTTGTCCCAGCTTCTTAGCCTCCGTCCACCTGTTCCTTTTCCCGTCTCACTTTTCCTACTTCCTAAACGGATTCCTTGCCCTGGTCACGCCTGCTCTGTCCCCCCCTTGGATGAATAGCACGCTTCTGCTCGTGTCCACCTTCCCTTGCTGCAGAGCCTCTCGGAGGACCGGCCGTCTTTAGGCCACAGTGGGCTCAGTCCCCATGTTTGTGGGACCTCCTCTTGTCCTAGCAGCTCCGAGTGGTTTCTCCTCCTCCCGTGATCTCTGCGCCTTTCTGTCTGCACCCTCTTCTCTTGCCTTCCGCCACAGTGGAACCACTTAGCCGCCCTCTGGAGGTGGGGGGCTGGAAAGCTAAGGGTAGTGTGGAATTTTGAGCCCCAATTTGAGTGCTCTCTGCAGGCATAGTTGTAGGCCTCCTTGGTCTGTGTAGAGGGCAGTGTGCGCAAGGCCAAGGTCTCCTTGCCCCAAAGACTTGGAGGACAGCGCGGTGAAGGGAACTCCGATCTGTCCTGGAGTGCAGCCAGAACGGAGCAAGGGCGAGGTTCGTGGGGACAAAGTAGGAAGGCCAAGGGAGAAGGTCAGGGAGAAGGAAGACAAGCTCTGGGCCTTCCACAAGCCCGTGTCTGTCTTCGGAAGCCGGGGGTGTACACGGGGGTCCTGGCGCTTTAGGAGAGGGTTGGGGAGACACGGCTGCCAAGATGGCAGAGGCGTGGGGAATATGAATGAGAAGTGAAGATGTATTCTCTTTTGAAATTTGAGGATTATGTATTTTTCCAGGACTACATAAGTATCTTACAAAAATACACTTTAAAAATATTGGATATTGAAACACCCTTTATTAATAAAAAACTGTAAATAATACACATCCAGTCCTCTCAAGATCTAAGACTAGATGAGTTTGGTTGGAGTCACGGTCACTAAGTATGTGATATTAGGCAGAGAGTGAATCTCTTCTGATGTTCCCTTTTCTCCATTTGAGAAATCCAGTGAGTTGAATTTTGAGAAAGTTGGTTGGGAAATTACGTGGAAATTATATATCTGTATATACCACGAAAAGCTATTCAAATGTGAGCTTCTAGTGTATTGAAGTTTCATTTCATATGGAGAAGATATTTTTTATTGTAGCAAAAATAATGTCATCAAAGAAATTTGAGTGACTGTGTTCTATTTCTGTGTATGACAGTTATTTTTATAATGGAAGGCTTTTTAAAAGCTTTTGACTAAGTAGTCTGTGCTAGCCTTCAGATCTTGTACACCGGTTCTCCATTCAGCACACGGTATCTTAAGTGTTGGTAAATTCAGCTGGTGAATAAAACATTGCCTTAACTTTGGGTAAAGTCCATTTAGTGATTTTATTTGATTTCAAAAACAGATTACTAGAGTCAGGAGCCCAGTCTTACGCTGTAACAGTGGCAAAAGTTGCAATTGAATCACTTATTTTTAACTACTTGGAGAGGTTTTTGTGTTTTGAGTTAGGAATTTTGTTCATCCTCAAGTAGAAATACATTTTCAACTCTGGAGAAACTGTGGGTTTTCTTACAACCTCTTATTTCATGAGTGTGCCGGCACATGGAGTTTTCAAGACTTGCCACTCTGAGCCCTAGAATATCACAGACATTTTATGAAAATGTAATATCTAGTGTAAACGATTATTTTGAAACTGTCTTTCCAAATCTGTAACTATCCACAGCATTCTCCACTAGAGTTGAGAATGAAAATACTTCCTTTAAAACTTTTCTAACATAAAATGAGCAGACCAGCATTTAAAATAACATCGTTAATGTCATCGAGTATTTCTGGTGGACAGCGTGGCCCTGTGGGTCTGTCTCAGATACACAGCGAACCGTGGTGCGAACTTCCCCCAGGAAAGTAAAATATTCATTTTCTCTCTCGCATATCGTAAGAACCAAGAGATATTTATTGCCAGTGAGCGGGCTCGGAGAGATCAGCCCTCCTTGGCTCCGGTGAGTCCAGGGGACGTCCGTTGGCTTCCACAAATCACTCCCCACCGCCCTGATCGCTGCTGCTTTCCCCGCATCTTTGAGATGCCCTCCAGTCCTCCGGGAGGCGGGGAGTGTGTCTCTCTTAAGGATGTGAATCATTCGGGCATATTTTCTGTTTATACTATCGTTAAAGCCTAGTGGTGCAGGCTGCAGAGCCATTGGAAAACCGTCCAAATACAGGAGCTGATAGAGACACCACCGAACCCGCATGGGTTCCTGCCGGCCCCAGGGACGTCCAGGGGCATTCAGAGCACGCGGCTTCCGTCACGTTTTCTCGTCACCAGGCCTCTAGGGACCTCGTGATCCATCTCCTATTGGTCCCCTGCCCTGGAAAACCGTCCCCCGTGGCCGTGCGAACTAGCCTCGCTCTGCCCAGCCCCGCCGTGCTCGATGTGGGCTGGACGGTCCCCACCTTTAATTCGGACACGGCGTTAAGTGCGTCCCTAGGAGACGAAGGCAGTCAGCTGACCCTGGAGATTACTATGAACAGAAAATACGACAACTGGGGTGATTGACTCATGCGCTGATTCGGGGTGGGCACATCGGGGTGGGGGGGGGCATGGAGGCAGGCGATGTCCGTGGACCGTTATGTCGCTTTGAATGTCACAGACGCTAATTCGTATTTCTTCGGTGGGTGAATGAAGGTCACATTCTGAAGTGAGTGCATGTGCTTTAAAGGAGTTTTAAATACTTAAAAATATGCTTTATGCTGTTTTCTAAATAATATGGTGGCTGATAATGTACAGGAGAAATTTGGTATGACTCAACATAGGACATCCTAATAGATTTTGATATATTCTTGGGTAAGCAGCTTTATTCTTCCAGTCTCACTAAACTAAGTGTGTAAAAACTATTAAATATATATAAATATATCTCTCTTTATATATATCTTGCAGTAATATACTTTTTGGTTTTTTTAAAGATTTTTAAAATTTATTTATTTTTAGAGAGGGAAGGGAGGGAGAAAGAGAGAGAGAGAGAGAGAGAGAAACATCAATGTGCAGTTGCTGGGGGCCATGGCCTGCAACCCAGGCATGTGCCCTGACTGGGAATTGAACCTGTGACACTTTGGTTTGCAGCCCGAGCTCAATCTACTGAGCTACGCCAGCCAGGGCTACTTTTTGTCTTGATAAACTTTTTCCCGGACTTTCATTTTGATTTTAAAATTAAATATTTTTAACCAACACTTAGTTCTTTATCTGAGAAAGTTACGGTTAAATCTCACATAAACCTGTCATCTCATTTAAAAGTCTCTCAAATCCAATGCGACCTGAGCATCAGCCCGTGGTATTTATCGACTGAGTTGATATTTTTCTTCTTTTTACCCCAAACTTTATGACGTCACCCTGCTTCCTTCCACGGTCTGTTCCGCGCACCAGCACTCCTGCTTCATCGCCCCTGACCTCACCGGACTCCCCACCATTCCCGAGAGTGTGAGTTGCCCGCTTTCTGTTCTCTTTGTATTATGGGTTCCTGCATGAGAAATAGAATACATACCGTAGTTTTCAGACTATAACATGCACCCATCCCCAAATTTGGGAGGGATAATGGTTGTTAATGCTGCTGTTGAGTTCTGTTTACATTTCCATCGGTGAACTATTATGTTCTTGATGTTATTAAATATTTTACCACATTTTTGCTTCAAAATTTTTTTTTCCAATTTTCCTCCTCTAAAACCTAGGTGCATCTTATAGTCCGAAAAATAGGGTAGTAACTAGATGTGTTTTTGAGAAAAAGCGAACAAGGAATAATGATATTATCTCTTCTCTTCTTTTTTTAAATATATTTTTGTATCCTCACCGAGGATATGCTTATTGATTTTAGAGAGAAAAGTGGGGGCAGGGAGGAAGGAGAGAAAGGTCGATCTGAGAGAGAGACACAGATCACTTGCCTCCCATATGCACCCCTAACCAGGGACCAAACATGCAACCTAGGCACATGCCCGGACCTGGAATCGAACCTGCAACCTTTTGGTGCACAAGCTGATGCTCCAACTCACTGAGCCCCCCAGCCAGGGCTCTCTCTCTCCTTTACGTACCTGCTACCTGACCCACTTCCGAGGACCTGGTGTGAGCACAAACCTTCCTGTCACTGGAGGGGGTAGTCCGGGAGGGCCGCGTGTGTCCACTAGGGTCAGGGGTCAGGGGTCAGGGGTTTCGCAGGGGATGGCTCTCCTGCTGGCGGGGAATGAACCCTGGCAATGGGAGCTGTTTTCACCCACATGGTCACTTGAGTGAGCTGACCACAGGATTTCAGATTCCTGCATACGTATCTCTGTGCACATCTCAGGTGTCCTGCACTCGAATTCTGGATTCGCAGTTAAGTGATAACATATTTTGTAAGGCTTGAAGAAATGATAAAAATTGCTAAGTTTTGCATTTTATTTAAGTCCTAATTGTAGCCCTACTGGGAATATTTTCAGTCTTTTAATATTCATTGCCAATTAATATTTGGTAGAAGAGTTTACATGGGTAAGTGCAAGTGACAAATATACTTTCGGATGCTGTATGAAAAGGAAATCAAAGAAATGACTGGATGGTCTCTCTTTTTCCAAATGAAAAGTTTTAGCCTTCCCGGTCATAGTTCACCTGGGCCTACAGTTTCGGCTTATGACCACACTTCCTCCACTCTCTTCCTTTCTTCACTGAGTTTCTATGTGCTTAGGTTTGAGCACAGAAACTTTTATTTATTTATTTATTTATTTATTTATTTATTTTTAGAGAGGGAAGGGAGGGGGAAAGAGAGAGAGAGAAACATCAATGTGTGGTTGCTGGGGGCCGTGGCCTGCAACCCAGGCATGTGCCCTGACTGGGAATCGAACCTGCGACACTTTGGTTCGCAGCCCACGCTCCATCCACTGAGCTACGCCAGCCAGGAGCACAGAAAGTTTTTTAAAAATAGGAAGGAGAGGATCCAAAAGTCAAGGTTAGTGTAGCTTATCCCAATTTTGTTATTCTGTGGGAAAAAGCATTAAAAGTTACAAGTCAAGGCGTCAGTCCACCCCCAGATTTTACTTGGTCGTGGTGGTACAGAGCGGGCCTGACCGGCGGACATAAACGAGGGCTTTCCCCAAATCAAGAGCCAAAGCGCTGCACTGTGAGCCCTCTCCCCCCCGCCCCTTGGGCGGCGTGCGCACGGCACACAGCACCGGGCAGTGCCTGGCCGGCCGAGTGACTGGCGGACAGAGAGGCGCTCAGACGTGTTTTCTGGAGCAGCGTGTAGTTGAATTTCCAGGAGTGCTGGTTCGAAAGACAGGTTCCTGGGGCCACACTCTGAAGGCGACAGGGCAGCAGGTCCCGGTGGGGGCCCGGGAAGCCGCTCCCTCGACAACTCCTTGGGGAGGGCGGGCGGCCAATGCCCGGTCCCCCGAGGCCCCTCGCAGACACGCTTTCCTGGGGTGGGACCGCGTGTCGGGTCCCGATAGAACGTCCCGTGCCCCGTGGGACAGCAGAACGGTAGTCAGTGTCATTATCTGGGTGGCTAACGGCAATCACAATAACGCCCTTGGCAAATGCCAGAAACGTTTCCCCCCCGAGCCGTAACGCGCCCCGTGGTTTTTCCGTGTGCAGAGGAACCTCACGGAGTACTTCGTGGCCGTGGACGCAAACAATATGCTGCAGCTGTACGCCAGCATGCTGCACGAGCGCCGCATCGTCGTCACCTGCAGCAAGCTAAGCACGGTGAGTGCCGCGGGCGTCCCCGCGCCCCGCCGGCGGGCGGGCGGGCGGGCGGGCGGCGGGCCTCTGCAGACGCGGAAACGTCCCCGGTGTGCTCGGGAGACAATGCGTCCCCACTTTTGTGATAAATGGCTTTAATCTGGCCCTTGAAGGACAAAAGTCTGATTTACGGACGCCCTTCTCAGATGCATTAAGTCGGGTTAATTATTTTTTCTTATCAGGAGATGAGAGTTGTTTTTTTTTTTTTCCCCCTTTTTCCTTTTTCACTCTCCAGAGTTCATTTTACTGCCTTCTGCCAATATAAAGCACTCTTAGGTGCTATTATGAGATCTTTATTATTCACTTGTGGCTTTTTCCACGGGCGCTCCTTGAAAGGAGCCCCGGCCTCGACAATAGCGCCCGTCCTCGCCAGGGGACCGGTGGGCCCCCCATTGTCGCCGAGTAGTGGTGTGGTGGGAGGTTCTATAGCCGCTCGGGCATGGAGGGGCTCTTCACGCTGACAATAACTTAAAAGTCAGAGGAGCATTTTTTCTTAATCATGCGTCTTCTGCCGCTCGCTAAAGTGTCCTTTGCGAGGTTGCCCTGGACACAGGAGAGGAGAGAGAATGGGACTTGCCTGGCCGGGGTCGGAGAGAACAGTGGCAAGTGCTCTGCCAGATTTCCCATTCTCTTTCCTGCTGTAGACTTTACGAGGTCTGACATTTTTGCTTGACTCAAAATCTTACATATAAATCTAAGTAGAGTTCAGACTAATAGATGAGATGTTTATTAAAAACCATTATTTAAGATGGTCTGAATGTGCGTTCTTACTCATTTGGCTAGCTGATAAAACTAAGATAATGTATGTGTGTTCTGCCGTAGAAATAAAAACTTCATTCTCTGAAACTTCAGGATGTTAGAGTAGGAGTTTCAGGATTTCTCTAGGATGTGGATTTAGTGTTTACCGACGAGAAAGGCCCCTTCGGAGAGGGCAGTGCTGACCCCAAGGCGAGGGAGCTCAGAGGAGACAGGCAATGTGAGACTGGGTCTTCCGGTTCCGATTTTGGCTCATTTCCATGACTCTACAATGGAAACGTTAACAATTCTGAGATTTTGAATTGCCAGGTTGATATGCTGGGTTTTCCCAAAAGTTGAAACGCTGCAGTGTTGATGACTGAGAAACACGCCCCGTGCACACGCAGAGCGGTGGGGGTGGAGCCGCGATGCCCAGCCGCGGGTAGCGGCCCGCGTTCGCTTCAGCGGGGCCGGGAACCCAGTCTGCGTCATCCGGTCCTCCTCATAAATTCGCTTTTCTGCCATTTTAAATTTACCATTTGAGGCAAAACCCATCTTCTTTCTCCTCCCTCTTCTCTTCAGCCTGGTCAGCTTTTAAATACGATCCTTTTCACGGTTATAAGGCATATTTTCCTGTGGCATCGTCCTGAAGACCAGAAATCGTACACGCTGTCTGGAGAGGTCGGGGAGCTAAATTCTTGCCAAAGGCAGGTCACGGAACAAGCGTTCGTTCTGCACCGCGTGGGGTGCGCTCTCCAGCCCCCGAGGACTCAGCAGCAAGCAAAGCCCAGTCAAGGGCTCCTAGCGCTTAGATTTAACGGATGAAGCAGGCGAAGAAGTGAATGAGCAAATGGTTTGTCCATCCTCCCGGGATTCCACGAGTGTGTGTGCGCGTGCAGGACGCAGGTGGGGGCAGGTTTCCGTGTTACGGGCGGTCTCCAGGGCCTCGCAGTGGGGCAGAGTCAGAAGAGGGGTGTGTGTGGGGGGCGCCAGGGGAGCGAGTGCGGAGTGCTGGGCGTAGGAAGACGTCCGCGGTAAGTCTGACGCGTGGTTCTGTAAGACAGTGGTCTTCCTCTCTGCTGTCATGTAGGAGCACCCCCACCGTCGGGGGGTCCTCTCCAACGCACCGTCTTCCCCCCCGGAAACTGGGAGAATGGCGTAGCACGAGTCAATCCCGCAGCGCTGCCGGGAAGCTCACGGATGCATTCACACACGTGCACACGTGTGTCTGTGCACATACACATGTATAGCACGCGCATCGCTGAAGTGCTGAGAATGGTGTCTGCCTAACATTCAAGGACTCTTCAGTGAGTACTGGCTGTGATTTTCCAATGGAGGAGGCAGACACTTCAGAGTGAAAAGCAGCGTGCCCTACCCTGCAACTGGATGTGGATTAAAACATAGGCTACTTTAATAGGGGCTTGGCGTCACTCAGGGAGCTGTCGCCTGTGTCTCCGTGAGCGTCTGGCAGCATTGGCTGGTGATGTCATCTCTCAGCTGCCAGCGTTGCTTTGCTTCGCCCCCCGGGGGCGGCGGCATGGATGACGGATGCGTAAATCAAGGTCACGTTCAGGATCTCCTTCCCCTTCTCATGTGGGGGAAGCTGCCGTGCCTGAGTCCATCTTGGAAAATGCCCAGATCTACATCTGCTACAAATGCTGCGCAGAGGACCAGCTAAGGTCAGAGAGTAGCACCACACATAAATCAGCAATAAACTATTTTTGGAAAGAATTTAGTGAAAACTCTGACACATTCGAGGAAAGGGTAATTAAAGTGTCAATGAACTGACTTGTAAGCTTTTTACTTTCTTATATTATTTACATGCCGTAAAGACTATAAGGTATGTAATCATTTTTAAATCTACAGCCAAAATTTTAATTATTTAAAATTAAAACACATATGCATTGAGCTGTGTTTACATGCGTTATTTTGGGGTAGTTTCAGGGACTCTGTTGGGGTGGGCTCTTTGCCAGTTGTAATTTCATCTGAATCATTTTTGCACCCCTGTTGCTTGCTGGGGGCAGCGGTGACGTGCGGTCAGAGAATCCGACCACGGGAGGATCCCGTTCTTTACACACGGTTTGTCGTCAAGATTGTAATTTTTAATTATCTTTCCCGTGACAAACTTTACAATGAAAAACTAGTTTTGAGATACGTTTGCCAAAGACCAGAGTGTTGTCATGTTACAACTTTCATGGGCTTTCTCCCCGCACCCTGAAGCGCAGCATTTTGCTGAGACCCAGGATTCTTTCTGCGTGCGTCTGAGTTCCAGCACTCCTGTGTTCATCCTGTTGATGAACTCATCACCGAGGGTGCACGGGGGGGGGGGCGCCCTGGGAGTCCTGAAGGAGGATGGGGGCTTCACGCAGGCTGGCGCATCCCGGCCCGAGCGGCAGGAGCCAGGCCCGGGTCTCCCGCACGCCGCGCAGGGAGACACCATCGCGTTACAAGGGTCTATCAGTCGCCTTGTTGCTGTTCTGGGGCCAGAAGTGGGGAAGATCGCTGTTTAGAGCCGTGTCATCCGCTCTCAGCTCAGTCGGGCGTGAAGTCTTGTCATCTGCCTCCGTAATTGCATCTCACCAGCCCCCTCCGACTCGTCAGCTGGGGCTGCGCACGCCGTCCCGGCGCCGGCGGCCAGCGCCTGACAGCAGCCCCCCGCCGCCCGTCAGAGACATGTTAACCGCTGGGGGTGGGGTGGGGGTCTCCGTGGCCTGTGGAGGCAGGGCACGCGCTGCGTCTCTCCGAAGCAGATGTCTGCGTGGTGGCTGCGTTTTGACCAACGTTTAGTTGGAAAATGCCACCCTCTCGAAGTCCATAAGCACGTTAGTTCCAGAGATTTGACTGTGCATGCAGGTTCTTTCTGGAACATTCAGAGCGAGCCGTAGGGCCCGAGCGGCGGAGCCGAGCTAATAAACTGGAATTTCTTCCTTTGTTCGAGCCACCCCCAGGCATCCAGGCCTGCGCTTTTCTCCGCGTCCCTCATTAATTCCATCAGGGGCGTAGGCAAAGGCAGTCTCGGTGATCCCCGGAAAATCGGCCATTAAAATGTAGATTTTACAGGTTTAGTTAGACCGAAGGGGGGGTCCGGAGGATTTTAGCCTCTCCATCTGGATTTTACACGTCCTGGACTTGTCCCTTCCCCATGTCACCTGTGTCAGCGTCGCAGCTGAGACCTGCAGCGTCTGTCTGCGGGTTACAGACCGCACAGCTGGGGAGGGGACAGAGGGGACCCAGGTCTGCTTCCGAGTCAGGGTCACCGGAGGGGGTCTCCCCCTCGTGTTTGGGAAGCTGCTGCCACGTGGTTCCGTTTAGCACTGTTATCAAGGCCTCTCCAGGAGAGAGACCCGAGGAACAGGTTTTAGGTTTTGCATTCTTCCCAAAGCCTGTAGCAACCAGGTACACGGGCTGAAACCGGAGCTGACAGCCCTCCGTACCGCTCCTCTGAGAGAAATATTTATATATATTTATATAGTTTTTAATATTTGTGCTTCAGTCCACTCCTCTCCTAAAAGGAAACAATTGGCTTTCAATTTAAAAACTAAGATTTTTAATGTAACTATGACAGAACTATCTAAGGACAGTGTGGTAAGCTGTCGTTCATCAGGGTCTGTAAGCTTTGTTCCCGCACCTACTCTGGTCTCCACAAGAACGACCTACGAGACTTGGGTTCACTCTGGTGTTTTCTGAACACAGAACGACTTCTGTGCTGAGTAATTATCCGCGTCAGATATAAGGAAGATGGTGTATGCTGTCTCTTTGTCTTTAGGAAAAGTACTGTTGAGAGCAGTGTGTTTTTTTAAAGGACCTTTTAGATTTGGTTTTCCCATAGTGCAGTTTTGTTTTCCAGCTGGGCAAGGTCTCCTCTTCTGAAGCGCTGTCTGGGTGAGGCCGCAGCCTAAGTCGCGGCGGTCACCACACCCAACACGTCCTGCGTGGCACTCGCAGGGTGAACATGGGTGGTTGTCCCTTCCCCCGTCAATCCCCCCACCTTAGTCCTATAGACCTAAGTCCCTTGCCCTTTCTTTGCTGAGCCCTTTTCACCACCCCACTGCCTCGTGTCGTGTCTCGGGTCAGGCAGTCCTCCTTTCCCACAAAGAGCATTTCCACGCCGTACGTGCTGCTGAAATCTGCATCCTCGCCACTTACACAAAACGATGGCGATGACGGAGTGGTCGTGGCCAAGAAGTACGTAGCGTGCAGTCACCGTTGCGGTAATTTCACCGCCACTC